AAATATTGTAAATTTTATTTCAATTTTTCAATAAAGACAAGCCATCGTGGCATGATTGCGGGTTAAAAAAAAAAAAAAAAAAAAAAAAGAATAAATATAATATAGAATTAAATGTTAATAGGATCTATATTATAGTATTTATTAATAATAAAAGGAATTTAAGAAAGTATAGACATAAAAATCTATATTATAAATCAATACTTAATAAAATAAAATTGAAGTCAATTTTAATAGTTGAAACTTAAAATTATAAAACAGAATAGAAAAAGAAAATAGAACAAGTATTAATAAAAATTGAAACCAAAAAATAATTAAAAACAATATTAAAGAAAGAATTATATTAAAATTTCTTAATAGAAATATTCTAATACAATTAGAATTACAAAAAAAATTAATCTTTATTTCAATAAATTCTTGATAAATTATGAAAACAAAAATATAAAATAAAAACAGTATAGATACAAATAAAGAAGTAGAAAACGAAAGTAGCTTCTGAGTAGAAGTTAAAAATTGACCTTTATATATAAAAGCAAAAATAGAAGTATTAATTATAATATTATCAATAGCCTTATTAGATAGTGCATAAAAACATTAATTAATAGTTAGATCTATATCTCTACCGTAAAAAAAGAACTGAAATTTATAGATAAGAATACTAGATATCCTATAAAATTAGAGCTTATTAATGTCAAGGCATACTCAAACAACCAGTTTAATAATAAAGCTAATAGGTTGGTCAAATAAACTTTGTGATAGAATAAAAAAGCCTTATATTAAACAAGATACATATAGAAATAATATAAAAAGAAAAAACTTTAGAATGAATAAATATCAGTACAATACGGGTAATTATTCATCCCGGTTGTCCCTAGATATGATCTTTATTATAATAAAATGTTGCCATGACGCATGGATGAGCTGGCGTCTAAAAAAAAAAAAATAAATAAACATCAGTATCTCTATTAATATAAAAACATAAAACAGAAAGAAAATAGTAATAACAAGTAATGAAGTCAAAAAATTTTTTGGCATTCTCGGAAACTATATGTTAGAGAAACTCTAACAATGTAAAATTTACGCCGTTTTATTATTAATAATGATTTCTTTCGATCGCCGATCATGCTTAAATTTGATCATGGAATGTGTTAAAAAATGTATACGTACAAACTCAGATTTTGTTTAATATAAATAGACTTAACAAAATTTTTTGTTATAAATGAAGATAAAAAAAAAAATTTTTTTTTTATTTACAAAGCATGCAGATATACTGTAAAATGTTGATGTTTAACGGCGGCTGAGCTATTACGTATATTGTTAAATGTGACCCTAAATCGGAATGAATGAGATACGAAAGGATATATTAATTTACTCTCGGAAATTCTGCATTTTAAATAATAAGATTTGGTCAAATTTGCAATAAATGGTTTTGTAAGGGTTATATAAATAATTGATAGATCATTAGTAGAAGGGGTCTTCAACTCAAACATTTAGAAAGATGGAAATCAATAGAGATAAATTTAAATCAGAAATTGTCAAGTTAACGCAAGATATTGCAAATATTCAACAAGTCCAAGATTCTCTCGATGCTGCTCTAGTGACCTTACAAGAAGCCGGTGACCAAAAGAACTCTTTCGTTAGCTATACAACGACCGAAACAAAAACAATTAAAAAAATCGTTAGCGCAAGTTATCATAGTACTGTTTGTACCCTTCACCTAAAGGATGGTATTGTTTGTCATGACAACTGCCATCTTACATATACAAACAATCCTGGAACTGACTACTTCAAAGATTGCGCTTGTATGCTTTTTAACAAGGCATGTATTAAATGCGGATGCGGACCTCTGAGGTAACTTTGGAAATAAGATTTTCATAATCTTTTTCTAGCTTTAATATTAATTCGTAATACTTATAATTTATATAGTCATTTTCACGATAATGTCAAATTAATTGAAGAAACAAAAACAATCGATAGTATTCTTGAAGATATTGACAAAGAAAATGGCGATACGGACAAACAGTATCAAGAAGATAGCGATGATACATACAAGTACCAGGTATCCATTGAAACTCTTCAGGCCGCTACTAATAGCAAATACGAACACATCCATAAATTTTGTCACGATTTAAGTAAAAATTGTATTACATTTAATTTTACTGACGAACTTCATGCAAATATTGAGAGTATGAAACAAGATGCGAAAATACTGCAGAGTTCTGGTTTGCGAAAGATCGCCGAAGCACAGATCGAAAGACTCGAAAAATTGGCGAGTGATCTATGTTCTGAATGAACAGATGGCGACACGTTTTCATAATTTGTTGGTTAAAGTTAACATAATTATATCAGTACAGTAAATGTATATAGAAAACAAATGCAATATTTTGTTATTTTAAATAAATGCTAAATTTTAAATTTTAATAAATAAATCAAAGTGACATTTATTTGGATAAATAACGTACAGACGGGTGACACCGCATTAGGGCGATAGCGAAATAATTACACACAAACGAAAATCTAAATCATAATAATA